TAATGAGTAGGTAGTGTGTTACAACCTCTTCTTCCATCCTAATGACCCATCCCTGCTTACACAAACACACACACACACAGACAGACACACACACACACACATTGTGCTTTTTTAATGAGCTGACGGGGCAGAGCAGGTCCTCCCCTGCTGTCCTCACAGTCCCCCTGAGCCGACTGTGTTGTCTGTTTGTGTGGTTGCGGTTGTATGTGTGTGTGGTTGTATGTGTGTGTGTGTTAAAGAGCGAAAGTATAAGCAAAGCGCCACACACACACACTCACAAAGGTGTTAAAGACACAGGCCTCAACTTGTCCTATATCACTTACATCATGCTGAGCACAGAGCGATGAGTGTGTACGGTGGTGTATTTGTGTGTGTTTGGATGAATGGAGTCGCACCCGGATGTAATTTACATTTTGGCAAAAGCTGAGGGTAGTTTGTGATGCCGGCTCAGTCTTGGTCATGCTAGTGGCTTCAGGAGCCGGATCAGGGTCAGTTCAGGCCGTGGATCCTCGGTCGTCGCTTTGGTTCAGAGTGAAATATTGGAAACAATTGGATGGATTGTAAAGACATTTTGTGCAACTATTAATGATGCCCCTGACTTTCCACCAGCAGCTCAGATTGTGCACTTGTTTCTGGATTGGATAAATAAAAAATAATGAGCCTCAGTCATAGTTTAAGATTCTTACAACCATTGGTGGAGATCTTGAGTGGGACACAGGTGATAATGAGGGATTTTGTTTTGAAAAAAAAAAAAAAGGCACTATATCTTGGCTGATAAATGCAACAATAGATGGCTTTCTACTGCAACAACTTGGGGCAGGTGCGAGGTGGCAGAATGTTAACAGGTAATTGACCCTTTTCCATTTCGGTGCAGGATTCAACAGCTTCAGCGTTCGCTCTGTGCATCGAAACAACGACAAAAAGCGGTCGCAAGACATGGAACAATGCAAGGTTTGCTTATTTGGTGAGCGTTAGAGAGGAGAAGACATCAAGAGAGCAGAAAAAATGACTCCTGACTTGAACCAATCAGCTTCAAGGCAGCTTTTCAGGGTTCGCTCAGAAGTAAGAGGTTCTACCGGGGCGGTTCTTGTGGTTGGAACATAAATATTCAGAACACCCTAAAGCATCAAAGTTCCTGTTGTAGAAAACGGCCTGCTGCTGGAGACATGGGCAGTTTTTTTTTCTTCTTCAGCACTGGGTCATTTTATACGCTCAAAATGTAGCTTATGAGTTCATGCAGCCACTGAATCTATTATGGCAAATGTGATTAGATCCATAAATATTCAGTTGTATTTTGAATATCATGCCGTTTTAGTTTACATAAATAAAGACATTTCCACTGTAATTTGATGCATAAAAGGCACAAATCGGTGCCTAAAAATTCCCCAGAATGCAGAAAATGAAGTGTTTGATGCTCCAAGTGTGTTGATTTGACAACTCCAGTGCTCTGCTTCCTCCTTTTTCCATCATGCCTCGTCTGTATGTTCATTTAGCAGAGTCACATTTTGTTCTAATCTGTTTGTCTTCGCCTCAGACGACACGTTTAGCTCGTGATTAATCCTAAATGTTTTTGTAGTGCTGTCGATATGTTAGCATAAGCGTTGCGATAATGTCAGAATGTTTGCTTGTGTGCTACATGATAACTGTGATCATGGTAGCATGCAAACACTGGCGTTCATAAACTCTAAGCAGCCACTGTGCACTGGTTTTTCCACTGCAGTATGAAGTCCTTCACGTTATGAAAACAGCACAACCATGGCTAGAAGTACAGAGAAGTTTAAAGTGTCTTTAGTGTCGTGTGACAGAGTTACAATCCCATAAATTATATATATTTAAAAAAAAAGAGGACATGAGCATTGAATTATTTTGATTATTTCTGTTGCAAAAATTAAAATACTAGGGGGGAAAGTTGAGAAGATATTGTACTTAAATTAAAATGTTCCTTCCATGCTTTTCTTATCTAGTTTGGCTAAACACAGCCTGCAGTTCAGCCTAGTTCCGCTGTGACTGTTGCTCATAGCTGAGTCATTGCAGGCTTCCTGACTCGGTTTTATTTTATGTTTTTACAGAATCTGGTTGGAGCCAACTGTTTATTTTCAGTGACTTTTTTAAAAGAGAAATGATGAGACATCCCAGTTTGTTTGTCAATGGAGTGACATGCCACAGATGACTAGTCGAAGAGCTATTGAAAAGTTTTTACTGGTGATAAATGGCATCACTATATTCTTCATAAGACAACACATTGTAATGAAGCCGGTGCAGAAAGCCTGACGAGCTGATTGTAAGGTGTCCTAAAATGGCCCCTGTGTAGATGATAAACCCTTTTGTTTTGGATAACAGAGCGGCATCCTAAGGCCAAATTCACATTATTGATCCGAGCAGCAAGGTTATCTCTCCTTCTTTCTTCTTCTTCTTGTTGTTCCTCCTCCACCTCTCTGAGCGTCGGAGCCTGTAGTCGTGTTTACTCATGCGATCATCACTTAAAAATTTCCTCGAGGGAGTAAAAAATGTCTTAATTTGTATTTTTTTTGGGGGGGGGGCTGCTGTGTCCCCCGACCCCCCTGCTGGGGGGGCAAAGGTGAAGGGTGAAAGGTCACTGTAAAAGCCCTCCCCCCTCCCTCCATAACCTCCCCCCGGTGTCCCACAGCAGACAGAGCTGACTAACAGAGAGACAGAGTGATGGATGGAGGGTTAACGCTACCCTCTACCACACACACACACACACACACACACACACACAGCTCAAATCACACACCAACCCTCCCCGTCATCACCCCTCCTCCCTCTGCTCATCCCCCCCCCGAAGCTACCACCACCACCACCACCGCCGCCGCCGCCGCCGCCACCACCCTCTCGGGAGTGCGAGCCAAAAGGAGGAAGGATGAAGAATGAAGAGAGAAAAGGAAATGACAGAGAAAGAGAGTGAGAGAGAGAAGGGGACAGCTAAGGAGAGAAAATGGAAAAGATAAAAAGAGTGACAGAGAAGAGAGGAGGTAGGATGGAGAGGGTGATAGATGGAGAGGAGGGAGGAGGGAGGAGGGGGGCAGTAGATGGAGAGGAGGAGGAGGAGGAGGGGGAGGAAGAGGAGGAGGAGGAGGAGGGGGGAAGTGGATAGAAAAGAGGTCACGTGACCACGTAGCAGCTGCAAGGCTGAGAGGGAGAGAGTGAAAGAGTCTCACATAGGAGCAGAAAGACGACGAGCAGGAGGAGAAACAGTGAGCGGGAGGGTGAGTGTTTGCATGTTTGAATTATGTCCATATGCACACGTTAGTATGTGTGTGTGTGTGTGTGTGTGTGTGTGTTTGTGAATGACATGGATAAATATCAGAGGGATAGCCTGTAAAGAAAAGATTGTAGGAAGAAGGAAGAAAGAAAAGCAAGAAACAGAGAGGAGATTATGTGTGTTGGCTTTTGTTAAATAAGCTCCAGTATGCTGAGATAAACGAGGAAGGGGGGGAGAGAGGAGAGAAGAGAGGAGAGGAGAGGAGAGGAGAGGAGAGACGAGGAGGAAAAGAGTGAGAGAGAGTGGAGAGGAGAGGAGGGAGGGAGAGAAGGAGTCGATAGAAACTGTCTTATCATCTCTCCCTTGACTGCTGGGCTCAGCAGAGACAGAGATACAGACACACACACACACACACACACACACACACACACACACACACACACACACACAGCCTGTCAGGATCTGAGCTTTTACTGTCTTCATCTCTCTTTCCCTTTTCCGTCTATCTGATTCGCAGTTTCAGTTTCAATTTGCTCTCTAAATACATGTGTGCAGCCGTAGAAATAAAGGAAAAGCTTACATAGAAAGGGCTTCCGCGAGATAAGAAGAGCAAAGAACACAGTCATGTCAGAAGCTGCATGCGTGTTAATTGCATACATTATACATGGTCCTGCTTTGTGTCAGCTGGGCAGGCTCATAAAAATCTGGGCTAGCTGTGTCCAAACTTCACAATATTTCGCTCTAATAGCCGGTTTTATGTTCCGAGGAAATAACCTCCAGCGAGCTCTTGTTTATCTGCACTTAGTTTCAGATCTGGCCACTCTCTGCTCTGCTTCTTTCCCTCACTGTTTATCACTCTGCAGCTTCGCTCACACGTGTTCCAGGTGGAATCCAACATCTGTAATCATGAGATGTCCGACGCTCACGAGCAGCAGCAGCAGCCTCCGAGATCTGCTCGGCCTTTTATTCTTTCACTTTATCAAAATTGTCAGTGTGATGAGCAGAACGTTCGATACTGGTGTTCAATGAATTTTTCATGAGTGTGTTTACTGCTTGGGCTCTTTGTTTGTTCTTCTAGTGGTATGTGTGTATGCTTTAAAGGTGTTTGTGTGACTGTGTGTTGTGGTGGTAATGAGGTCATCGCTGTAGCAGGCAGGAGGCGGGGGGGGGGGGTTGCCGGCTAATTCCAGCTGTAATTAACATTAGTGGGTCAGTAAGAGGGTAGAGGGTGAAGACAAAGGTTACGCCAAGCGTGTTTTTTTTTTTGCTCTCAGAGGGTCCACTGTCCGGCCGATCGATGGGTGTTACTTATGTGTGCGGCTGTGAGCGTTTACTTGCGTGTTTGTTTTGCTTGCATCTGTGAGAGTGTGAAGATTGCAGCGATACCTAATAATAAGGTTTGCGTGTAGACGCTCCCGACGTCTTAAGATGCGTTGGCTGGCTCCCTTGAGGAAATGGACATGTGTGCGCTCATGTGTGTGATTTGCTATTAGGGTCACCGCTCTATTTGACACAGCTCTACTCCCTTCACTGTGTCTCTAGTGGAGCTGACCCACGCGTATCATGGCCCAGACATAAAGGCACGAACGCACACACTTGTCAGTTGAGTTTTATTCATTCAGCACGAGTACGACACCAGCTGTGTACAAAAGTCACTTCCAGGAAGGTTTTTTTTTCGCTGAAGTTGACAGAGTTCGGTGCCAGCCAGATTGTCAGTGTGTTCAGTTTAAGTATAAATAACAAAGCTCTGCACGTCTTTTCTTCCCACTCTCCTCAGGTATGAACCATGAGTCCAATAAATCACCATCATTAGGAATGATCTCCACGGCAACTCGCACCACGGCTACAGTCAGTCCCCTCAGCCCACTAACCAATGGGAACGCGGTTGCCCAATCTGCAAACTCCGGATTCGCTGCTGCCCTGCGTAAACTGGCCAAACAGGCTGAGGATCCCAGAGGTGAGCGCCGATACGAACACCCTCAAGAGCTACGGCCGACCCATGGCCTTGGAGAGCTGAACGCAAACAGACTCTTCTTAGTTGGTCACACCCAAAAACATTCACCGCTGGTGTCAGGTTTAGGAACACATCCTTTAACTTAGCTGCAGGTTTTTCTTGTTTTTGTCACCTTTAAGCCAAGAAAGTGAGCCGTTAGGGAAAATGAAATTAGATAGACAGATGTGAGATTAAAAACAAATACTTCCCAAAACCTTCAGGATGAGGTTTTAATGGCTGATCATTTGGACGGTGTGTCGCAACACAGTGCCAAAAAAGAAAAAGCACAAGTCGATCATTTCGCAGACCAAGGTTGTATTTTGTGAATTGATGTGAATCGTTTTGCTGGTTGCGTGTGTGTGTGTGTGTGTGTCGTCACTGAGCTCATTGGTGTCCTAATGAAGGTGTTGGATAAGAGCTGACCTATCCTGACCTCTCCCTCTCTGTCTCTTCCTTCATTCGTTTCCATTCATCTCCTAATAATGAGAATCTAATTACAGCCAATTATAACAAGCTCTCTCTCCACCACTCTCCATCACATCTCGTTTTCTTTTTCTCTCTCTACCTACAGCTGAACTCGTTCGTTCCCACCTTCCCTCCATCTCATTATTTCCTCCTTCTGTCTCCCGAATGTGTTTGTGTTTCTGTACGTAACTGGAAATTAGTGAGAGTTACACTAATAGAGTAATGCCAACGTTACGGACGACACGCACACGCACACAAACACCCTCTCCCTTTTTCCGCATTTAACACCTTCCCTTCGCGGTGTCGCACCCCAGCCTCTTTTTTAACACGTTCATTTATGACATCCTTCTTTCGCTCCCTCCATATCTGATTTATTTATTTTTTTGGTCCTTTTTTCCATCATTGTGCGCACACGCGTTATTGTCGCGCACACTTTCATCTTGTATCTTTTCACACGTTGCTTTATTTTGCCAGAGTGCTTTTCATCGAAATGATTGAATCTCTGTTTATCTTGTCACGCTGACCAAAAAAAAAAAGTTCTCTTTTGTGTACCCTCTGTGTTTTGTCATGGGGGGGTGGTGGTAGGGGTTGTTTGATCCTGTTTTCAATCTGATCGGTTTTATTCCTCAGGTTCTGCCCTCAGCGGTGAGTCGTCTCCAGTCTCCTCTCCGGCCACCAGCCACAGCTCGCCGGTCACCACCCCGAAGCGGGGCTCATTAGGGCCCCTCTTGGGCCAGAACAGGGGCCACAGCGTCCCCGGCACCCCTCCGGTAGTCACCATTGCCCCCACCAAGACCAGCAACGGCCTGTGGAGGGCCGACGGGCGACAGGTAGGAGATTAATCACGTAGCCGTCGTACCTGCTGGTGTTCGGGGCGTCTGCTGCTCTGTGCATCTGTACTTTCTGTTCCCGTATCTCTCGCCGGTGTCTCCTTTTTCCTCCCGCTCAGATCACTCGTCTGTCTCTCTGTTCCTTTATCTGTCCTGCTGCTGCTCCCCTCCATTAAAGAAATAGTCCCAGCGCTTGTCAACATCCGACTGTCAAATCCAGCCATCCCACCCTTTCTTCCTTCATTTATCCCTTCCTGTCTTGTCTCACTCTTTCATTTTTCTGCCTTCGCCCTCCTGCCTCTACTCCCCTCCTCCTCCTCCTCCTCCTCCTCCTCTTCCTCCTCATCTCGCTAATCAGTCCGTGTCTTTTTCAGCAACACATGAGGGGTTTGTAAAGAAACACTGGAGGCTGCAGAGACTGGCACCTATTGTGTTCAGCTTCCTGCAGTGTTTGTGTGTACGTATGCGTGCTCATATGTGTGTGCGTGCATGTGTGTGTGTGTGTGTACTTGACCCTTCACCACAAAAGGCTTAGGATGTGAAGAGGGACCGGTGTGTGTGTGTGTGTGTGTGTGTCTGTGGATGTGTTTGCTTGTGGGTGTGTGAGTGAATTTAAGCTGGGGCAAGGAACCAGGCCCCTCACACAATGCAGGGGTGAGCCCCCACAGTAGCCACTTCCCCCTGGATCAGAGCTGCCTTTCTCCCCCTTCACAAAGACCACTCTGTGGCTCTGCCTGCCTGGGGCTCCCATTCAGACATTCAGAGAGAGAGAGAGAGAGAGAGAGAGAGAGAGAGAAGGAGGGAGGGAGGCAGGAAAATAGAGAATAGGATGTTAAGAAAGGAGGGGAGGGAGAGTAAGAATGAGCAGGAGCGCAACAGAGAGAGCGCTTTAAAGCTAAATCCACTGTTTGTGGGTGCAGCGTGTCCTAGAACAGAGACGGACAGAGCACGGGACGGTTTGAAACTCCCTGTTTATTGCTGCATCTGTGAAGGCCATTGGCTTGTCTACGGGGTCACAGGTCAAGGAATGGGATGGCTTCACTCCATGTGCTGCCTTCCCTTCTCGTGTTTTTTTGAAGCAGACAGCGAGAGAGAGAAAGAGGCAGTTCATCACTGGTTTGAATCTGCTTTCCATGAATGACATATTCAAACGTATTCAAAGCACGGGCATTTCGGTGCAAATCAAGTGTTGTACAAAACTAAGGTAGCAGATCAGGTGTTGCCGACAGAGGTCATTTGTTTGTGGGTCGTCGGCGGTCAGCCCGACCTGTATTGCTGTCTGTTGCTGTAGCAACAAGATATGACACATTAGTGGAAATGTATGTCTTTTTCTCATTAACATACTTTGGTGAAAGGTTTCCCGGCAGCTCTTTATACTGGGAAAATCAATGTCGGCAGAGATGTTTTTCCATTATGTTGTCTTGGTCTCGGGGTTAAAATTAGAGACAATGATGAATATTTAGCTACAAGCGCTGCGGCTGTGTGGATGACAGTGTTGGTCTGTTGGACTGTTCGGCCAGTCGAGTCGTCGTCCACGTCTCAGCTGTGCTTTGTCCTCACTGCTGATCAGTAAATACAACTAAGGCAGGAGTAAACTTTTTACTTTGCCCAGATCTTAACTGGCACGAAGAAATATGAACAATTTGCACTATTTATCTTTAGAATTATATAGAGCGTTTGGAGTAATATTAATATTTTCCCCTTTTAAAGCCTTAAATGACCTTGTCCTAAATTACATCAAGGACATTGAACCTCTCATGTCCTGGGAAGTTTTCTTAGATCAGTAAATGTGGCTCAGCTGGTTCTTCCAAGGTCTCAGTTGGTAAATAAAGGTGATCGAGCCTTTGCTGTTGCTGCACCCAAACTGTGAAACGGTCCTCAGATCAAGATCTGACGAGCCTCATCCTTGGAGTCCTTTAAATCTCTCCTTTCATCGAAAGGCCTTTATGAATGTGTGATATAAGCTGTGTCTTATGATCCCTTTTTTGTTTCCCTTCTGTTTTATGTCCTGGCTGTTTTAATAATCCATGTTTTGCCATCTTTCTTTACAAGCTGCTTTAATGATCTTTGGTTTATTTTTATTGATGTTTTCTCGTCTTTTTTAATTATTTTGTTTGTGTTAAGCGCTTTGTAACTTTGTGAAGAAAAGTGCTGCATAAATAAAGTTTGTTCTTATTTAAACAGCAGCATGTTAGGATTTTTACTGTGAGCATATTAGCATTTAGCTCAAAGTGCAGCATTGCAGAGCTGTAAGCAGTGAGACTGGTCGTCCTGTTTGAGATTTTCATTTGGCTTTTTGCCTTTTTAGTGTGTCGAGAGGGTAGAATAATGACACATGGCATGTGAAGCAAGCTGGAACCGATACAAGCCCAGGACACACAGTCTCATGTTGGTGCCACCTATTTGTTGTAAATTTATATGCAAATTTAGAAAACATCCTCTTTTGTCATGGTGGCGATTCGAAGGTTGGAATTTTACTATGAGCAATCAAGGATCAAATGCAGTGTTGTGGCGACTAAATCCTCTGAGTGAGACGCTCAGCGAGGGAGACGGGGAGAGTGATGAAGGAGAGAGCAGTTGGCCAGATATTAGGATCATCTTTCCACTTTGATCTTGACCTGTTATGACATATCAGACCCACTTTTCCACTCCGCTGAGCCCCTCGGTGCAGCTCTGAGGTTTTTACCCAGTTACTCCCCGTCTCATTTCTCGCTTCCTCTTTTCCTCAACTTTTTTTTCTTTTTTTTTTTCTGCTCAGTTTGAATCTAGCACACACGAACCTCATGAATGCACACAGTAATGCCTGCCCTGGCGCTGTCTGTCTGTCTGACTCCTCGTCAGGTTGAGCCGAGCGTTCAGGGACTCGGTAGGGAGCGGGTGGGAGCTGAGAACACCCAGTCGCAGCAGGATAAGAGGACTCCTCCCATCCCTTCACCTCACCCGCTGGCTCACTCCTTTGGTCTCACCCCAGGCAGCATCATGCAAGACCCCCGCATACAGAGCATTAGGTAGGTGTTACTCCCGCGTGTCGCTGCACTGCATGTACGTTTTAACTCGTTTGAAACAATTATGCGATAATGCTGTCCGTCCTTGTTTTTGCAGTTTGCCCGGGCAGATGCACCCTGTGGTTCCCTCGGGTGCCGTCCCAGAGGAGTACCTCAGAGCTCTCCGGCCCTTCGCTGCCTCAGATGACCTCCGACTGACCTCCCTGCCGCTCAGTCTCGACCCCGCTGCTGCCGCTCACGCTGCCGCCGCCGCTGCTTACTATCATCCTGCCTACCTGCACCACCCTCTGTCCTTACCAAGGTAACAGCACCACCTTAAACCCCACCCACCCACACGGTTAACATTTTACTTCAGAAAAACGCTGTCACGCCGTCCATCGCTTTACAGATAAACTCATCCAACATGTGCTCGCTGCATATTTCACTTTTAACCATCCGAACCCCAAATCCTACAAGTGGGTTTGAGGCATGTTGTGTTGAAAAAAATTGCTAAAATTACACCATTTATTATAGCCAGAAACTATAAAAACAGAAAGATTTTCATCATTCCAACTGTTTTTGAACTATTCATCTGTGATATCCCAGAAAACCCAAAATAATCTCAGCCTAAAATTACGATTTTCACCACAACCACCTTATTTTACATCTAATTTTAAAAAAGAGTTGTAGAAAATAAACCATATGCACTAACAGGATTCTGGGAAAACCAAAATATCAAATCAAATCAAGTTTTACTGTCATTTTGCTGTATATACAGCAGTAGTGCAGGCAAGGATCGAGTAACTTAAAGCAATTAAGTTAAGACACCAACACTTATGCATTCACACACACCCTCCCGCCCACACACATGCTCACATCTTGAAAACATATTTTTTACAAAGTGGCAGTTGAATTGTTTGTGTCCATAGTAGCAGCCTGTGATATAACATGCACAACATTTACAGTGACCTTGTGCTTATGGACTCATATATTATTCAAATACTGAAACTAAAACTAAAAATACTGAAATTAGATAAGGTGCAGAAGTGTGTGCATATCCAGATCGGCAGTTCAGCATTCTGACAGCTTGTGTAATGATGAAATATTCTGCGTACGCCTCATCTGCTAACAACGGTCACATGAGAGCCATTCAGAGACTTTTCAGCTGAACTGGGTTGAACTGCAGGCCGTGCCTACGCAGGCAGACAGGAGACAAGTATTTACAAGTAGTCAAATATCTATAGCGTGTAGAGTCACCTTTTTTTTTTCATTGTTAAAAAAAACTTGTGAACACTTGGAAAATTGTTGAAAGTGCTCATCTCCCGTTTTTTTTTTTTTTTCAAATTTTGCAAAATTCAACTTTCATTTTTAAATCCACCATGCTGGAATTCGGCATTGTATTGAAGAAGACTTGTTTACCACTTGCCTGCTTCTCTGTGCAGACATGTTTCTCTATTTGCTAAAAAAAACTGTACTGACTCCCCCAATATTCATCATTATTCCAGTGGCTCCCTTCACTTACCAGAACAATAAACCTAATTTCCTCACTTGAGAATACCGTCTGACTACTTTGCGTCTGTCTGTCACAGGATGGAGGAGTCTCTGTGTCTTTCTGCGCTGCGATCGCAGTTCTACTCCGTGCCTGCAGGAGGCGCCTTCCCTCCTCTTCACCACTCTGCCCTCCACCTGCACCTGCCCGGAGGCCGATACCCCGGAGAACTAAACCACACAGCGCTATCTGAGAGGTAACTTTGTTTGTTTGTTTGTCTTTCTTTCTTTCTTTCTTTCTTTCTTTCTTTCTTTCTCTTTCTTTCTTTCTTTCTTTCTTTCGTCCCTCCGTCCCTGCCTCCCTCCCTCCCTGTCTGCAGGGCTGTGTAATCTCTCTCTGCAGGGTAGGCACAGGTTGCTGAGTGTGTGATATTTTTAGCAAACACCCCACAGTGCCTCCTATACACTCATCACACACACTGCCCTTCACACACACACACACACACACACTGTACGCCCATACACATGAATATGCAAAACCGGCGCATACATAAAATCACACACGCATAAGGATTTTTACTCCCTCAGTGTCTTTTCTGTCACTGCTTTGAGCTCCTTTTTTTCCTCCTTTGGACTGTACACACTGTTTCCCTGTGGCATAATGCAGGAGGAGGAGGGAGGTATGTTTGAAATGGATGGTATTTATCATTTGCTTCTGTAAATGGCTCCTGCATATCTTGTAGGGTTCGTCTGTGTGCTATTGATTGCCGGTGAATGTGTTCCGTTGTGTGCGTGTGTTTGTGTCATTTTCCTGTGGATACCTATTAAGTGTTCATCTGCTCTTGCTCAGTCATGCTGTGTATGGATTATTTTCCTCATGGTAAATGGAGAGCATGTGTGTGTGTGTGTGTGTGTGTGTTTCAGCAGAAATGTTTGTGTGAGGTTCACCAGTGTGTGGTTAATATCTGCCTCATGTTGGGTGTTGCATCTCTCACCTTCTCCCCTTGCCTGTGTGTGTGCCTGTGTGTGTGTGTGTGTGTCTGTGTGTGTGTGTGTCTGTGTGTGTGTGTGTGTGTGTGTGTGCGTGCGCATACTTGTCAACCTCCTCCACAGGCTACAGATGGAGAATGAGCTCCGCCAGCGAGAGAGAGAGCAGGAGCGTGAACGAGAGAAAGAAAGGGAGCGCGAGGCCGGCCTGGAACGAGAGCGGGAGAGGGAGAGGGAGCGGGAGGAGGAGAGGGAGCGCGAGAGAGAGCTGGACAGACAGAAGGAGAGGCAGAGGGAGAGACAGCAGCAGATGGTCCGAGCGGCGGAGAGCCACTACCTGGCTGAGCTGCAGGCTCGGAGGGCACCACCGGAGGACAGGGCCAGGCCAGGAGAGAGGCTGACCCCGAACAGACTGGGTACCTACACACCAGCACACACACCAACACACGCACACGCACTAACACGCACACCAGCACACACACCAACACATGCACTAACACGCACACCCCAACACACACACACACCAGCACACACACACCTTCGATTTCTTAAGTTACCCCCAATACATTTTTTTTCTGAGTCCAGCAAACAGTGGAACTCAATTGAAAAGAGATAAACTCAGAATTTAATTTACCTCAAGCGGTTTGGTGTGATTTTTATTTGCTCCTGTCACATTTTCACTCACTGTGCACTCATTTTTCACTGCAAAATAAAGTTCCCGCACCTCCTATGGAAACAGTTCAACCATGGCTAGAAGAAGACAGAAGTCCTGAATGACTTTCATGCAATATCACAAAGTTATAGTGCCATAAATCATAAAGTAGAAGAAAGTTTGATTATTTATTTTACAAGCATTGAAGAAAAAAAAAAAAGGAATTAACACGTGCAACCTTTTTCCAAGTGCTCAAAAGTGAAAAACATGGTGAATCTACATACTAAGGATATTTCAGTACCTACATTTTTAATTTGTTTGTCTCTTTTTGCTCGGTTCAGTCCAGTTTAGCTGAAAAGTCCTGTCAACTATTGGTCACAGTTGATTCACTAATGGCTTCTTGGCTATGCTTAGAAGTGCATTGTTTTAGTTTTTTATAGATTCTGTTTCGTGCAAACTGTTAGTTTTCCGGTGAATTTTTAAATGACAGTCAGATTAGTAGTTCAGGAATCATCAGAAAGTTAGAAGTTGCCAATTCTTTGTGTTTTCACAGTTTTTTTTTTTAGCTCTGATGAATGGAGTAATTTGGGCATTTTCTTTTTAAAAGGATAACTTTTAAACTTTCAAACTCGTCTGTTTTGGGTTTCAGATTGTTAAACAGTATTTAGTAGGTTGTTTACATTTCTTAACACTTGTAAGAAATTTTCCAGTATTGGTTAGAAGTTACATCTGCTCAACACTGGTGATCAAGTCCATATATCCTGACAGCTACTGGCCAGAGTGCAACAAACTTCACAGGAACATTCATGGCCTCCTGACCTCTTCTCTCATCCAACCACCACGCGACAAATTCCCAATTGTTTAGAAGAAATATCAACGTATACGAGGCAGATTTACTTGCTTCCCAGAAGATGAAACCTTTTTGATATTTGATTCTTTCTCTGAGCTTTAGTTTTCAAACCAGAATGCTCGCCCTGCGCACAGCGTATTTCGTAATCAAATCTAAGGCAGAGTCTTGTGAAAGTTCCTGACACAGTCATGGTTCCTGTATTGGAAACATCTCTGCTTACAATGAGTCTCTTCACCGTAATGCTTCACTCATGGATGGAAGAGTCAGTGTCAGATAAAGGCTTTAAAAGGAAAGGAATCGCCCCAAAATGAGCAACGAAATGCAGATGATGGTCAAAGTTAAGGTCATAGTTTTTCTTTTTTTCTCATTGAAAAGCATGAATTTGCCATCTTGATAAGCGTAGTAATAATAAAATGTGAATTCCACTACAGCAGAGCCCCAGTGTTCTCTGCAATCAGGTTGAATGCATGCATTAGTATTGGAATTAGCAACTGGTCAAAGAAAGTTGGAAAATATCAGCATGTTGGATAGAAGCAAAAGTCCAATGTGGTGGATACCTGGTTTAACTGGAGGAATTAGAGATAGTCAGTCTTGAGAAATGGATAATGCACCTTTGACCTTCTTTGTGGTGGTTTTCCTTGTACCAGATTTACAGTGAATAAAGACCAGACCTGGTTCGTATCACAGTAGTTGGTCACGCAGACACAGCAAAGTGAAACTGAAGCACTGAAAGAGATCATTTCAATACAGTACATCACCGACTGAGCCACCTTGAAAAAAATGCATCTTACACGTAAGCCGCCAATATGAGCAAAATCTAGTAAATTTGATGTTCTGTTTTATATTATAGATTCGTATAAACCTTGTAGCCTTTTACCTACTACTGTACAATCTGTTGGTATAACTGCACGACAGTTCTGTAACAAGTAGGTTTCAAGTTAATGAGGTGAAATTTAATGCGATTAGCACTCCATTCATATGAGAAAACAACTCCAATCAAAACCGTAGTGTGGGATGTTTTAGGTTATCAACACAAATTGATATAACAGAAAAGTTTTGCTGCTTCTCACCCAAATCTGTTCTTGAGACAAATTAACACAGAAGAAATCCTGTCAGAATAGCTCGTAACTCAGAGACATTACTCATTAAACAGCTAATTAAAGACATTCAAACTCCTCTGTTTCTCCAGATAAAACCAAGGACTCGGAGCACCCAGCTTTCCCGGCGCCCAAACCTCTTCCTCTGCAGCCCGGCCTTCACTCCTCCAGGGGTTCGGTCCCACACCCAGTGCCCAGCCTGCTGCCTTCTCACCTGGGGAAGCACCACGCTGCGGGTGCCGGGGGGCTCCATGGAGCTCTGGCAGCCGCCATGATGACTCAGAGGGCCAGCGAGGAGGTGTGGTTATCACGACAACGAGGGCAGGGACAGGACAGGGAGGGTCCGCTGGAGCTGGGCCTCAGGTCGCCTGGGAAAGGGGTGGAGCCGAGGAGAGACGTCCACGGCCACAGGTCGGCTTCAGAAAATGATCTCTTTTTCTACACCGCAAAAACTCAGCTCTCAGGTCTAAATCCAAAATATAGCACCTCATCTCTAACAGCAACAGCACACTAGATCAATGTAAATATGTATATAGCATATAGGTGTATGTACACACACAGGCATCCGCCCACCCACGCTCTAATGCATAAACAAACATAAACACACAACTGCATCTGTTACACAATGTACACTGCACTGTAGCTTCACCATCTCTTTACTCCTCGTTATTTATGACTTCTTCTGTTTTTTAAGGAACGTTATTTATAATATTAATATTGCACAGTCTTGTGTGAGCACGTGACGAATCAAATGTCTTGAATCTTAAATCTTTGAATTTAAGTGGAATTTCTTGTCTCTTTTCCCAAACAGAACTAATTCAGTCTACCACAACCAAGGCAGCAAAGATGTGCCCCCCTGCCTCGGTGCACCGCCTCCCCTAATCTCCCCCAAAGGTCCCCACCACCCTCCCGCCCCTCCCACCACACTGTGGAACCCAGCCTCCCTCGTCGACACACCCGCAGACTCCCGCAGAAAGCTCAACCCTCCGACGCCGCCGAACCGACCGCCTCCGGGCCTGACCAGAACCGACAGGCCCCCGATGAGCTGGGGGGAGAGGCTGGAGGAGGGAGGCAGGAGGATGGCGAAAAGCCCGGAGAGGTACACCTCGCTGAGGGGAGCGAGTTTGCAAGAGTCCTGGAGCAAGACCGAGCAGGACAGAGCCGTCCAGAGCCTCTACCACCGGCACCACATCAGCAACCTCCACCAGAGACCCTGCGCGCCTCCGTCCGCTCCCAACACCTGCACCGACCTGGGGGGACGGTGCCAGGCAGCCTCTCCGTCTCCAGCGAGGGAGCGACAGGCGCCAGACAGCATGCTGGTGTACGACGAGGTTCTCCAGCAGCACCGCCGGCTGCTCAGCAAACTCGACCTGGAGGAGAAGAGGAGGAAGGAGGCCAGAGAGGGAGGTGAGGACAATGACGGATGAGGAGACGGAGTATTTATAAGCGGCAGAGGACAGGAGAAGATGGTTGATTGTGTCATTTAAACTCCCTCACAGGCCTGCAGTTTTAAATAATGAAAGATAATTTCTCTCTTGCTCTACTTTCACCAGGTTATTACTACGACCTGGATGAGTCATATGACGAAAGCGACGAGGAGGAGGTGAAAGCTCATTTGAGGAGAGTGACTGAGCAGCCTCCACTCAAACTGGACACATCCTCAGAGGTGCGTGAACAGAAACAGATCCGTGTATCGCAGTTTTAAAGTTTGAAATTTGTTGTCTGACTGCCCGAATTCCTCCTCCTCCCCTTTTTTGAAGAAAGTGGATTTGCTTCGCGTGTGCGGCCTCACCACGGTGGCCCATCGCGACGAGGTTCTGGCTCAGAAGAGGAGGAAGAGGAGGAGGATGATGAAAGAGCGCAGCGTCTCTCCGCCGGCCGTGCGGGGCAAGAAGAAGGCCTGTTCACCTCCAGCACCCACGACTCCCTTAACTACCCCGTACTCTGCCGAACAGATGGACCGCACCCCCGAACTGGAGGAGAAAAAAGACTTCCTCCTTATGTTCAACCTTTCCCATGTCAGCCCACAGCAGAGGAGAGGTAACAACCTGTTTAGTATCCACACACATCCTACGTGCTACTCTGCTCTCTGCACAGTTGTTGTGCTGGTGATTCCCCTGTGGAAAGATATAGCGTTTACTTTCTCTCAGTTTTGTGTTTTTCACCGAGGCTGTAGGAGGGGTGAGAAGAAAATAAAGTTAGGAGGAATCTGGAGAAGAGGTTGTAGCAGGATTTTATACTTTCTCCCACAAGGGTAGAGTTTAATCTGCATCCAGGCGAAATACGGTCGCACTTAAAAATGTATGAATTCAGTCGAAAAACGTCACAAAAATTGTTAGAAAATTAAATATTCAGAAAATATTTGGAATATTTTAAAGCATATGGAAAAAAAACTTCCTAAAACTTTTGCACAGTGCTGAGCAGAGTGCTTCTGTTATGTTTCTCTAATAAACAGTATTTTTGTGGGTGTAAAATATCTGTAAATACTGAAATAACACTGTTAAGGTTCATTATTTTTCATCATTTACTTTAAAAAAGATTAGACTCTTATTTATTTGGTTTATTTTACCTGTTTATATGTTTAAAAAAAAAGAAAATCTGATAAGAAGAATCAGAAAATTGGATTTTAAAACACCAGTGTAGCTGTCTGTTGTTAAAATGATTATTATTACTTGCTTAGAGGGACACTGGTGTATAATCAGCAGCTCATTTGCACTCCCTCGCATTTTGTCTCTTCTTCCTCTCCGACCACACGCCTTTTCTGCAAAAAAGATTTTAGGATGAAATGGGACGCAGAATCAGGGTGAAAATCTGTATAAACTAATCTGCCCCCCTCTGAAAATATCTTACAATGTTTAAGTGAAAACTGGGGAAAACTGATGATGATGAGCTTTGAACTAAAAAAATTTTGTGGCCAAAGCATGTTTGTACCGGACGTAACCTCAGATCATCCATTTTTCTGTCAGTTCCTGGTGCCAGTCAGTTCTTTAAGTCCTCATTTTTTTTTCAAATATGAATGACGGGTGTTCTCATTCTGTCTTTTCCTCTGTAGATAAGGAGAGGACAGAGGAGCTGCTGAGGGCTATTCAGAGGAAGACTGTGACGTTAGACACACTCAGATATAATCCTTTACCACTGTGTAAGAGTCCTCCGGCTCCCTCAACTGGTGAGACACACACAGACACACACATATGTTTAACCCTCTGAGCCCCAAGCAGTTTCTGGGTGTTTTTTTATTTTTTATTTTTTTATTTGCTCCTGTCACATTTTTACTCGTTTTGTTTTACTGCAATCTAAAGTCCTGCACCTCTATGGAAACAGCACAACCATCACTTGTCTCCTATTTGCTTTGTGTAAACACAGACTGAAGTTCAGCTCAGTTAACCTAAAAAAAAAAAAAAGTCCCTGAATTTTTGTCACATGACTGTTCCAGCTGAGTCAGTCATGGCTTCATGATTGCGCCGAGAATCCTGCTGTGCAATCATGAAGCTGTGAGTTTATTTGTGGAATGTTTTATTTTAAAAAGACATGTAAAACAAAGTGATTTTGATTAAAACTATGATTTTAAGCTTAGATTTAGATACATTTCCTGGTGGAACAGCACTTTACAGATGCATTTTTTTTTTAAAAGAGTAGTTGTCCAACATTTTCCCAAGTGCACAACAATTGTTGACAACACTGGAAAAAATAGTGGCTCTACACTCTATATTTGTTCTTGCTTCCTCTCTGCTCTGTGTATACACAGCCTGCAGTTCAACCCAGTTCAGCTGTAAAGTCCCAGAATTTGTGTCACATGCCTGTTGGTTACAGCTTAGTCACTCATGGCACAAAGGAGCACAGAGTTTTCAGTTCCTTTTCTTCACAGAATCTGGTTTCTGATGATTTTCAAAAATGATAAATGTAAAATAAAGTGATTTTTATTAAGTATTACGATTTGTTGATTACATGTGGTTGTTTTTCCCAACAAAACCAAAAGTCACACATGATAAGTTTTAAGGTCAGTCAGAAAGATAAAATGATTCTTTATGCTTTTGCAGCTTCTGGTTCTGATAAATGCTATGATTTTGGAGATATTTTTTAAAAGAGAAGAACCTGCCTTTCATAGCCAGTTTTGGGGTTCAGAGGGTCAAAGTTGCAAAAAAAAAAAAGCCTCTCTCTAATAAGCTGTGCTCATTTTGTAGGTGACTCCTCCTCAGCCCCTCAATCAAACGGACACCTGTACCCGGACTCTCCCAGCCCTTCCCCTCCATACTTACACAAACCGAAGCACCACCACAGCGACGCACTCAAACCCCCCGTGGACTCCCAGGTGACCCGCATCCCTCCTCCTCCTCTGGCCCCGCATCACGAAAAGACCGAATTCGTGGAGAATCAATCGAACAGAAAACTTCAGACCTTCCAGAACGGCGTCGCTGCTCCTCCGCAGAAGAAGGAGCCCAATCCTGTGCAGAACGGACGCAATCGGCCCTGGGAAAGATTCACACCTGAGGCCTTTGCTCAGCACTTCCACCAGGCTGTGCTGCAGTCCACACACAACACGCTGCAGAAAAAAGGTGAGACGCTCACTCCCCTGTGAGCTGGATTGTGAATTTTAAAACAACACTGTTCTGCCATCTAGTGGTGACAACATGCACTACCTTAAAATGTTTGCTGGTGGATTTAATTGACTTCTGATGTGATAAAAGATGTCTACAAAGACTGACATTGCCTTTTTGTCTCCCTCTTTCCTCCTCAGGAGTCTCAAACTGTGTCCCTGAGGGCGGCGTGAAGCCTGATCGCTCGCTGCCTCACAACCTCTCTCAGCTGAAAAGTTCACATCTGAACCACGCCCCTCCGCACGCGCACATCAACGGCCATCACTATCACTCTCCTGTAGCCAGCCGGGACGCTCCGGCGCCGCGGGACCAACTGTCCGACGAGGACGAGGAGGAGTCCGGGCAGGAGGAGGATGAAGGGGAGGAGGAAGAGGAGGAGGAGGAAGCTCCAAAGAAGTGGCAGGGCATCGAAGCTATTTTTGAGGCCTATCAGGAGTACGTGGACGGTGAGTGGAGTCAGTTTGATGTATGATATTTTAGAGAACATAAATGTGGTATCTATAAATAGAGATGCTTGATTTGTAAATACTCCAGTGCTCATTTTTACATGGCGTGTGAGAAAAATTAAAAAGTTAATAGTGTTGTAGAAGAAACATAATTATTGACAACAAAGTCTGACTGAATATGGCTTTTTGAAGTTGACACTAGTAGATTTGATGGTTTAATCACCAGGTCATGACATATTAGCTGTTTTTTAAAGGTGAAATGAAATGAAATGAAAAATACTTTATTTATCCCAGAAGGGAAATTCAATAAAGGCGTCTTTTTAAGTTTAGAATGACACTGAATCTGTTTTACATTGATTACATTGAGTGTCGCGCTCAGGAGGACTAGCTTATGCTACATTTCCTTCAATTGGTGTGAAAGAGGTGTTTAAATACTTGTAGTTTTCCCTACCTGAAGTCATCTGTGTGTTTCTCTCTTTGCAGAATGGAGTATAGAGAGGCAGGTTCTCCACAGCCAGTGTAAGCGACTCGAAGCACAGAACTACAATCTGACCAGAACTGCAGAGCAGCTCTCTCTCACTATGGGGGTGAGCAACTCTTTGTTTCTTTGCCCTTTCCATTTTCCGTTTGTGGTTTTGTTTCTTGATCTCGGTCCTGTCATTAATGAAAGCCGTGTCCGTCTCATCAGGAGCTGGTGACTCAGAGGCAGAAAGTGAGGGAGGAGAGAGAGAGGCTGCAGGCCCAGCTCGAGCACTTCAGGAGGTGTCTGACGCTTCCTAACATCCACTGGGGCAGAGGGCAGGTGAACGGACACACCAGGTGACCTCTGACCTCTTCCAAAGGTTGCGCCTCTGACAGCGAAGGAACAGTAACAAGAACAAGTGGGACCGGAGCCTGACCACTCTCCACGCCTGAAGCACTTGAAGGAGCCGACCGTCGTCTTGTCACCTTTCCGGCCAGTCAGCTAAGTTACCTGATTGGTTCCCGGATAGAATTTATTACCTGCCATGTTTGTAACCATAATCCATGGTGTCCATGTAGTCCGGGCATTCGAAGCGTCTGATCTCGCCCCGTATGGATCGTAACAACACCGTGCAGGTGAAACTGCATCTTTTGTTAGAGTGACGCTAACCTCTCCTCCTACTTGAGTTGGCTTTAAGGACTGTCCGCCGTTTAGCTCATATCATGTCAAAAAAATCTGCATCAACCCAGGCTAATGAGACGAAGGCACGAATCTGTGGCCTCTCTGGAAGCCAAGAGAAGAGTCCAGGCGTGCAGTGGTCGCTTGGTTAGTCCTTAGAGAATGAAAATTGAGTCAAGGAATCAAAGCACACCTCAGGCCTTAAACTTGACAGGATGCACTTGAAGTGGAAATGGAGGAAATACTTGACCGTCCTCTGTGTGGTGTAATGTTGTAGTGTCTACTGAGTACTGTATCTGACAGATGAAGCAGTGTGTGTGTGCTGGTGACGGTTCTACAGAGCATAGGAATCATCTAAAAATAATCTATATAATGGCAAATGGTATCAATGAAGTTTGTTTTTCTTTTTTTTTTAGGTTCAGATTTCCATCGGTTAATGTCACTTGTGATAGATGAAGAGTTGTGTATGTTTTATTGCTTTAACCATTTCTTTTTAATGTGGGAAGCCATATGTTGTTTGTTTTTTTTTCTGAATTGCTGCTGGTCAGAATGAAATGTTTAGAAAATGAAGGACGTTAGGACAGTCGTATTTTGGAAGATGTCAATGTGATGTCAAAATGTCTTTGGAGTTGACCGAGATGCACTGGGGGACGGAAGACGACAAATGTCCATCATTACCATTGTTCAGGTGGTTCGTCTGCGTCCCAAACCCTTCACATGCCTATAAACGTTGGAGAGAGATGAGTAAAAGTCTTTTTTTTTTCTTTTTTTCTAAAAAGGCCTTTTGCAGATTCTACACGTTCTTAGATAATTGGCATCACTTAAGTGTAACTTTGTACTTTTCGACATATTGTCAAACCTTAAAAATGTTTTCACCTACCTGGGATGATCATTCTGAACCTCTTTTGTTAAGGAAACAGAAAAGCCAAATTATTATTCAGTTCCATTTCAGGACTATGTCAGAACGAATAAACGTGATCTTTTCTCCTGAGACTTGAAACAATTCTCTAATTGTTTATGGGTGACATAAACATCAGAATGACTTTATCCCTCTGAGGATGACAATAAACTACACCTTCTGTGGTCTTTTGATGAGATTTATTTTTGTTCAAGCCAGAATTATTATTATTATTATTGTCACAAACTCACACTTTCATTCCGTCTGAATATTAAAAACCTTTTTTCTACAAGCACAAGCTACAGTAGCAATCTCTCCCCCCTCCGTTCACCCGACCTTCCTGCGTCGCCTGCTCCGTCTCCTCTTCAGACTCTCTGTGAAATCTTGCATATTTGCTTCAATCAGTTGTTATGTAATGTATTATTTGGGCTGTATAATTGCGATGAATTATTTATTAACATATATTGCTGTACATTCGGATGGAAATTTACATTAAAATATTTGTAAAATGTCTCTTAACTGTTAGTGTCGTGTATCTGGGAGAGTTGTACGCTTCTGAGGAATGTTTTATTCGGCTCCAGGTCCCTGAGGTTTTGAATACACAGAGCAGCACATAAAAATTTATAATTTTCACCGAGTCCAACCCCTCCGTACCCAAGACACAAACAAAATTGCAAGCTGCCGTCACACAGGTCCTCAAAGTTTGCATACAAATTGTGTCCTCCACTATTGCAGTGATTGAATTTAACAAGTGCAATCCTGAGACGTGGAGCTTCTACTGTGGACCTGATTGCATTTTTAAAGGATGGTGTTTTAATAACAGATTTTAACATGCACTTGAGGAGGCAAAGTCTTAGTCACGGTGATTGCGGCGTTTAAAAATAGCCCGTATCGGTGTGCTGCTGTCAGCATCACATCCCCTGAAGTCGCTGCTTCACCTGACAAAAGAAGGTACATTAGTTTGTTGAGTTATTTCATCACACTGTGAAAAAGGCTCAGTGTATAAAGGGGCAAATCAAAGGTTATAATGCAAACTTTTTATGTTTTTTTTTGTAGTTTGCTCTGTTAAAATAGTCAATTAAAGGAGCCAGTTTATTCACTGTACAATGTAATGAACTTATGCACAAGACGAGATTATCCTAATGGCAGCAGAGTTGATGAAGGTCAAAGGTGAATGTAAAGCTAGTTTCAGTCTCATTACTTCCCATATCAGTTTCCTGAATTGATGGGGGCTGCAAGGTGGCTCGGTGGTTAGTACCGTTGCCTCGCAGCAAGAAGGTCACCAGTTTGCGTACCGGCGAGGACACCAGGATTTTTCTGCGTGGAGTTTGCATGTTCTCCCCGTGCAGCAGGTTCTCCAGCCTCCTCCCACACAGTCCAAAAACATGTTGAGGTTAATTGGTGATTCTAAATTGTCCGTAGGTGTGAATGTGAGTGTGCTTGGTTGTCTGTCTCTAAGTGTAGCCCTGTGATAGACTGGTGACCTGTCCAGGGTGTCCCCTGCCTTCACCCTGAGTCAGCTGGGATAGACTCCAGCCCCCCACGACTCTCGTGAGGATTAAGCGATGCATAGATAATGTTTAATGGATGAACTGATAGGCATTGAGTTTTTAAAAATGTGTTTAAGAAATGATTGTAATGAAAGAGGGCCTTGAAGAAACGTCACATAACTTCATCACATAACTGTTAAAACCTACAACAACACCATCTATGGATGGCTGATAGGCTGAGAAATAAACATCATTCCTACTAAAAGTTTTTCCTTCAGTTGATGTTTGGATGATGGTGGCTGCAAGTGCTGTGTGAGGAGATGCTCCAAAATCTGAAAAGGGTGTTAAATGTGGTTGAGATACAGCAGCTGTGACTCATTTTCATCAAAACACTCAATGTCCTCTTGTGCTGCCTGGAGGTTTGGTGGCATTGCATTCCTGTAAAAAGGCCACTCCCATGTGGATAAGAGTGTTTCAACACAGCTCAAAAGCAGAAGGGAAAGGTATTTAAGTACTTCTTCTCAAGGTATGGTTCATTTTATGTGCCTTTATACCTCTTCGTTACTGCATTCCAAAGGAAAACACTGCAGATTTATGTGACAGCCAGAGGTAATTAAAGGCTCTGTACAGACACCTACACACACACACACAGACACACACACACAGGCATTTTCTTTTACCTTCACCGAATAGACTTTCTGATCGGGTGTAAATTGGGTGGAGTTATGTCGGGTTTGTGACGCCACCAAACTGTGCAACAAGAAGGAAAACGGGATAAGCTGCACATGAGTACAACAAAATCCACAGAAAGGTGGCAGAGATGCCCGTCAGGCACAGCATTCATCAGGCTGCATAAGTATAGATACCTGTATGTGGAGGGCCTTTAGGATTCACATACAAATCATATGAAGCTTCTATGAACTGTAATGCATTGTTACTGATTCTGAGTAATCAAGCTGATATTTAGAACCGATGTACATCAGCAGTAAAATAAAAAATTAATGTAGAACTCAAACACAAAATGAAAAGGTTTTGTTTCTTTATGTTTTACATATGTTTAAACATTTATCCTTCAGAGTTGACTGACTATTGCTCCTGTTGGGAAGCGATCAAATAGTGCTGCAGGCCAGATCACAAGATCCCAGAGTGACTAAAGATAGAGAGAGAGCCAAAGTAGGGCCTTTTTAAATCAATTCATTTTATTAGAAATGAGTAAAAACAAACAAACAAACAAACAAAAACAATACAAATAACCAGAAAACTGGTGAATATTGATAAAAAACGTAGTTAGCACTGGCTCCATCCCAATCAGCTGTTAAGTGCTTCTTAAACCTCGGTGTATAGCAACAACTTTAAATAATCTAAAACTGATGTGTCTATTGTGTTTTGTTTGTTTGTTTGTCTAAATGCTATTATTTCATATGCTAGAAGACACATCATAAGTAAATTAAGCAGTCAACGCCACGTCCTACACCATCGACTCTTCAGACAGAGTTTCATACAAAACAAAAGTAAGAAACCAGTCCAAACTCACGGGTTGAAGCATTCCTCATCATTATTTGTCTTCAGAATTGGTTTTCGGTTCAGATACGTGTGGCTGAATTACTTCAATATGACAGTTTATTATTGTGCTGCACAGAATAGTTTTGCAGTGTTTGAACAGAGTTGTAGGCGAGCTGGTGTGCTCGAGCTGCAGCAGGTAGCAGAGGGGTGGATGGAGAAAGAGACGAGGGATCCATAGATCTGCACATTCTAGACAAAGAAATAGTGCAGAGCTTCATATAAACCAACCACCAGGAGGATTCATTTTATGGGGAAAATAGATATATAAATATGTAACTTCGATGCACAGAGGTGAGTTTTAGGGGTTAAATCTGACATTAGAGTTGCTAAAAGTAATTTTATTCAGGTGATATTTTGAATGGAGGACTTTTACACTGTGACACTACTTAAGTAAAACATATGACACTTGTTCAGTCTGTCGATAAAAGTGATCATTTATATTCACTTTGTAGTGGTTTCAAGGGATTCTCCTCTGTAAAGAAAGAAGGGGATTCTAAGTATCCCATAAGACCTGTAATATGGAGCCATGAGATGTCCTCACTGGGTCAAACTTTGAGGCTTGTTCTAAATCCACTTCAGTCATCTTCAGTCAGAGTTCCTGACTGCCATCTTTGGCCCAATAAAAATCCACCTTTTAAAGTCACTTCGATCTTTTTCTCTTGACATTAAATCAGCTCCCAAACAGGAATACTTCTGACTTTTTCTATGTTTTACACATAATATTTCATGGCTCAGTTGTATGATTCAGCACCCCCACACGTATAAGAGCATCTATATTTGTTCTGTTTCCAAATAATTCAGATTGCTGATTGAATTTGTCACCCGTCTGGACTTTAACAGAATGAACAGGGATGACGTAGTATTGCACAATGACAAGCAGCTTTATTTCACAGACTTATTTAATGTCAACACAAAGAAGTAAAATGAAAGAAATAGTGACACTAAAACAAGCAATGTGTCATATTATGAAAGGCTATGAGTGCCAAGTAGAAAAAGAGGGATTACGCAGTACATGGAGCAGCATAACACAGAGAAAAAATCTTTTCCCCAGATAAAACACCACCATGTGACAAAGGCTGAGTCCCATGGAAATGCCTGCCAGTTATTCACATGGGTCCTGGATGACTATCAGCAGATAGCTGTTCTCTGCAGAGACATAAAAGAAGAGAAGATCAGACGTGCAAATGTAGTGACAACAGTGAAGCCAAGAAAGTGTTCAGCTCTTGACTGAGATCATATTAAATGTCTGTGTCAGGGATAACCATTAAGTCAACTATACCAATAGGTAAAACTACTACATGCTCACCGACTGCAACCATGATCTCATGTTTCTTTGAGCGGATGCGGAGGAAGGTGAAGTCATTCTGAGGGTCAATATCTCTGACTGTGTTCCTGGCCATCGTCGAGAGCTGGCACAGAAGTTCTGCATATTTAGCAGTTGTGGGGTTATCTAAAGTAGTTTTGATGGGAATACCTTAAAAGACAAAACAGTAATCGTTACAGACTGCACTGCGGAGTCAAGTCACTGTTACTTATATCGGACATTTAAAACAACAGATGATGAGCCAAAGGGCTTTCCAGCAGAGAAACAGGACGAGCATTAGGAATTTACCTAACGAGTTTAAATGTTAATGCTAAAACCTTACAGCATTATGTATTATGTACCTGAGTAATTCATATAATACAGCTAAGACCTGACAATATTATACAGAATACAAATTTACCTGGCCAAAATAAATATTAAAGCTAAAATAAACCATAATATTATACATAACACAAATATACTTGACTAATTTAAATGTTAAGGTTAAGAACCTACAATAATATTTATTCTAAAGAATGATCTGACTACTGTAAAAATAAAGATAAACACCATATAATATTATCTAAATTTATCTGAGTAATTTACATATTATGGTTAACACACTAGCAAGATAATATAAAATACTACATATAATACAAATGAACCTTTCTAATCTAGACAATACAGTTAAGGCCCTACAATATTATACAGAATACAAACTTACCCCAATAATTAAATATAAGCCATATTATTATATATATATATTAAAAACTGACCTGATTAATTCAGATGTTGAAGTTCTACAATAATATATACTTCCCAATTAGTTTACGATTATTTAGCTGACTAATTTAAATATTAGGTTACGACCCCACAATACTAAATGTAATATAAAGAAAGTTTACTAAATTAAAACCTACAGTATTATATGCTCTAACAAATGGCTTGATTTATTAAAAACTGTACTTTATATTTTTATTTTTTTGTTTTTGGCTTAACTCACCTTCTGCATTGACAACTATGGTTCCAATCACACCTTTACTGGCTTCAATTCTCCTCAGTGTTTCTTCAACTTCATCCTGTTTGACCAAGAAAATTTAAAAAGTACATTCTGATAAAACAGCACTGAAGGATGGTCGACAAAGAGCTAGCTAGCAGTGCCACAAAGTTAGCTAAGAGTCACTGAATAGCTACTTGAGGATATTTAACTTAAATATAAACATTGCTGAGTCTATCATTAAGTTTTAAGATATGTTAATAGCATACTTTTGACTAAATTGCTCCGCTCCTACCATTTTGTCTGCTGCGGCTCCTCCGTCTCTTCTCCGCTTGTCTCTGTTGCCAAGAGAAACGGAAGGGACGTCAGGCGCAGGCGCAGTGCAGCTCAGACGTCATTGTGTGGAAGTGGCTGTGTGCTGTTTATCTTCACTGCGAAAATGCCGGAGTTAGCGGTGGAAAATGTGGTCGTTCATCCCCTTGTGTTGCTCAGCGTTGTCGATCATTTTAACAGGTCAGTGAGCTCGGTGTTTGTGTTCAGTCCTATCGCAAATATTGGAAGTTAAATTGTCCAGAAGCGCAACGCTGCTGCTAGGCTAAGCTAATGCTAGCCCTGCTGAGTCAGAGCCCCGTTGAGAGTGAATGCAGACATGACCAAGCTAGTTAGCTCTGTGTTAGCGAACAAGAAGTGTAAGACTGTTAAATGAATTAGTAACACCGTAGGGTCGATTAGTAGTTGTGATTGCTACTGCGATCACACTAATGGCACTACCTTGTCATTCATTTCTTCACCGGTTGAAAACATAACGAACTGGGCATTGACGTTAGCTTAGCCTAAAAGACAGCTAACGACTGCCGATCACTTTTGTCAAACTATGACAAACTAGCAACTTAATGTATTCTGATCATTTGTCATTTTAATTCACAGGATAGGAAAGGTTGGAAACCAGAAACGAGTGGTTGGAGTCCTCCTGGGATCATGGCAGAAAAAAGTTCTCGACGTCTCAAATAGTTTTGCAGGTAAGTGTCACGATGACACCATTCAGAGGATCAGAGAGAGATCAGATAAATCAAGAGCAGTTCTACAAAGAAAACGGAAGCATTAGTAGCTGAGAGTTGTAATAAGATAAAAACTTAGTAGCATTTTCGTTTGCCTGATGAAGTCACACACCAGTTTGTAACCCAGGTTTGTGTTTTAAATTTAGAGTTCTTTTAGACACTTGAAAGCTCACTTGATCTTCTGATTTTCAAGCAGTTTCTTGGCATTTTTCCTGACTGTTACATTTTTACTCACTGTAGGCTTGTTTTTCACTGCACTATAAAATCCTGCCCCTCTGTGGAAACAGCACAACAATGGGTAGAAGTAAAGACAGCTCAGACATGACTCACTGTGTAGTATGACACAGTTATAATGACAGAATCATCCATCCATTATCTATACACCGCTTAATCCTCACTAGGGTAACGGGGGCTGGAGCGTATCCCAGCTGACTCAGGGTGAAGGCAGAGGACACCCTGGACAGGTCACCAGTCTATCACAGGGCTACACTTAGAGACAGACAACCAAGCACACTCACACCTACCAGTTAACCTCAACATGTTTTGTGGGAGGAAGCTGGAGAGAGAACCCACGCTGCACGGGGAGAACATGCAAACTCCACGCAGAAAGATCCCGGGTGTCCTCACCGGGACGTGAACCGGCGACCTTCTAGCTGCGAGGCAACGGTGCTAACCACCGAGCCACCTTGAAGCAGAAATTTCTTTGATTGTTTATTTACCAAAAATTAAAAAGTTTGGAATCAACATTTTATATCACATTTTTTCATGCGCCCACAGGTGTTACCATTGGTGAAGAAACATAGGAGCTCTACATATTATTGATATTTTACTATGTATATTCTTATAAGCTTTAGTACCGAAGCGTTTTTCACATTACTCTGCACATCAGCTCTAGAAAGAAGTGTCACCATGGTGATCATATCTTCAAACAACTTGCAGACAACTTGCTCCTCTGTTTACAGGTTTTCAGCCATGCTGCATTTATTTTGTAGATTTAGTATGTTTTATTTTCTTCTCAATTTCTTTTAATTTATTTCCAAACTTGTCTCATCCTTGCTTTGTGTAAATACAGCCTGCAGTTCAGCTGAACAATTTCTGAATTTTTCTCACGCGACTGATGGTCACAGCTGAGTCAGTCATTGTTTCCCAGGTGTCCTGAGGATTGCAGAATTTTTTGTTTTGTATAGGCTCTGGTGCAAACAGTTTACTTATGGTGGATTTTTAAACGAGAGGTGTAGAATTAAAAGATTTCTCTGAAAAAAAATCATGACTGTAAGCTTCAGTTTAGTTAGGTTTATTTTCTAGGTGAAACTGCACACATGATCAGTTCAGGGACTCTCAGAAAGTTGAAAATCCTCAGATTTTTTATGTTTTTATAGTTTGTGGCTCTGATAAATGGTGTAATTTTGGAAACTTAAAGAAAAAAAAAGAAGAAAAACATGCTTTTGAAACTTGCAATGCTCAGTGCAGGTTCACTGGGTGTCACAGAAGTTCACAGAAAACTTACCTCTGGATTTGTGACTCTACAGAACAATATACAGCTGAATTATTGTCAAAAATAATGAATATTTAGGGTGAATTCTCTAACTCTTCGTTTATGTTTTAGTGCCATTTGATGAGGACGACAGGGACGACTCGGTGTGGTTCCTGGATCATGACTACTTGGAGAACATGTACGGCATGTTCAAGAAAGTTAACGGTAAGGCAGTGGTTTTGTCAATGAAATTTAGTTGTGTTTAAACTCCCTGCGTTATCCTGATTTCATACTTCTGTCCTGCTTTTCCAGCCAGAGAAAGAATAGTCGGATGGTACCACACAGGGCCCAAGTTACATAAGAATGACATTGCCATCAATGAGCTCATCAAGCAGTACTGTACCAATTCGGTATGTAGCTGCTCTGCTTTTCCCTCATTTTAATGGGCATGTCTCTGGACATCACCTCCCTCTAGTCATGGTTATTCTGATGATGAATAACCCACATATACACTTCTCTTTTTATCCTACCAGGTGTTAGTCATTATAGATGTGAAGCCCAAAGATCTTGGTCTGCCCACAGAAGCGTACATCTCTGTGGAGGAAATACATGACGTAAGTGAACCATGAACTGCACCAAAGCAAGTCAGCAAGAGGAATTGTGTTTTGCTGTGTTGATGTTTATAGGCTGAAAACAAACTCAAGTTTAGATCAGAGTTTAAATTTTTGTTTCTATATGTGCAACTTGCTATTTACAGGATGGAACTCCAACGTCCAAGACATTTGAACACGTCACCAGTGAGATCGGAGCGGAAGAAGCAGAGGAGGTGGGAGTGGAGCACCTGCTGAGGTACGAAGCAAACCTTTGACTCACACACACATAGTATAGCCTCAGAGTTGATCACATTAAACAGAAATAGTCAACAACAGAAAACTTCCTGAACCAGTATTGTCCACATCCTCATTGACTTCTTGTCTACTGTATCCTGACTACAGAGACATCAAAGATACGACAGTGGGCACTCTGTCGCAACGCATCACAAACCAGGTTCATGGCCTAAAGGGACTCAACTCAAAGTTACTGGACATCCGCTCTTACCTGGAGAGGGTGGCCGCAGGCAAACTTCCCATCAACCACCAGATCATCTACCAGCTGCAGGATGTCTTCAACCTGCTGCCAGATGTAAATCTACTGGTAAGTTGTTCATGCGTGACATGCATGTGCTTCATGTTAATTTATGGCAATCTTTCAAGGGAAATTGTCCTTTGAATTATAGCGCCACTGATTTCACTCAGCCTAAAGTGATACTCGCAGAAATACTTTTTCTTGCTTAATTGTGTAATTGTGCTAATTAAAGTTACAACAATACTTACAGTTACAGGTTACATTGTTAGCAATACTGCATACTTACTGTTACTTCAGATTTTAATTTAATGCAGTGAATCACAGAGATGTGGAGTAGAAAACAAAAGGTTAAGGTTTAACCTCTAAGTGAGCAGCAGCTTCTACTTTCATCCACTGGAGGGCAAACAAAGTCTGAACTGAGGTCTAGTAAGACACATGCAGCTGAGGCTTTAATGGTGTTTTCCCAATGAGAAGTTATGACGAATTATCAAATGTTAAATTTTATTCTTAAATACTTGGCTACCAACAGGATTTGTGGTCACAGTCTGTGATAAAGCAACAACATGATTTGATCCATGGGCCGTTTATGAATGGTTTCTTTTTATCCTAAACATTTTAATCAAATATTTGCATCACATAAATCTCTGTGTATTTCAAAGTATGTATTGAATAAATATTTGTATTATTTCATCGCCAGATCCTTGGAAATTTCACATCATATAAAGATGCTATTTGTTGTTCGAACAAGACTTTCCATGTTACTAAATATTGTGGATTTCAATTGCAGGAGTTCACAAAAGCCTTCTACCTAAAGACCAACGACCAGATGCTGGTGGTCTACCTGGCCTCGCTCATACGCTCTGTGGTGGCTCTGCACAACCTGATCAACAACAAGATTTCCAACCGAGACGCAGAAAAGAAGGAAGGACAGGAAAAGGAGGAAGGCAAGAAAGAGAAGAAAGACGACAAAGAGAAAAAAGACGAGAAAGACAAGGACAAGGAGAAAGGGGACGGCGCCAAGAAAGATGAGAAGAAGAAGAAATGAGTGCTCCTCCTCTGCGGTCTTCTCTCGGATCACACCGTCTTCATCTGGATGGTGCTCTACTTTCTGCCCACAGGCACAGCTCTGTATGTGGGTCTCAGGCTAAAAGTAGGACTCTATATGGGGAATGGTGTCATTTGAGATTTGGCCTCATGGTCACCAGTGGCACTCAAAGACTGTTATTATCGTATCGAGATGATGATGCTTGATGTTCTGAACTGTGAGAACGTGTTTATGCTGTTTCCACAGTTGCCATGCTCCTGGTGTTGTGTAACACCTGGTATTCCTTTTTTGTAAGATTGAGGAAAACGTTTTGTTTCTGTATCACTCATTAAATTGGGATCATATAAGAAATGTGTTGTTTTTGCGGTTTTATCAGAATTTTAAAAAGAGGTAGGTAATTTGCTTTCAGGCAGGTGTGTGGTCATGTTTGTTTTGAGGTCACCTTCATATTTTTAGGGTC